TCAGCAATGGTGTGGCCAGCAGGAGCAGGGCAGGGATTCCCTCTCTGTTCTTGGCACTCTTGAGGCTACACCTCAAGTGCTGTCTCCAGTTTTAGGCCCCTCGCTCCAAGAAGGACATTGAGGTGCTGGAACAAGTCCAGAGAAGGGCAACAGAGCTGGTGAAGGTTCTACAGAGTGAGTCCTATGGGGAGTAGCGATGGAAGTTGGAGTTGCTTGGCCTGGACAAAAGAAGGCTCACGGGACACCTTATCACTGTCTACAACAACCTGGAAGGAGGTTGTAGCCAGGTGAGGGTCAGCTTCTTCTCCCAGGCAACAAGTGACAGAACAAGAGGAAATGGCCTCACACTGTGCTGGGAGAGGTTCAGCCTAGACATCAGAAGGGATTTCTTCACTAAAAGGGTTTTCAGGCATTGGATTAAGATGCCCAGGAGGGTGATGAAGTCACCATCCCTGGAGATGTTAAAAAAAAAAAAAAGGATGTAGCACCTAGTGCCATGCTCAAGGTTCAACTCAAAGGATGATCTCAGAAGTCTTTTCCAAACTAAGTGACTCTGTGATTCTCTATTATTATAGGATGTATCTTAGCCAGTAAATTTTCCTAGCTAAAAATTCTCAGAAATAGAAATGTAAAGCTCACTCTCCATTAATTTGCACATAATTTAACATATGAGAAATTATTTGATATTTAAATGTCATCACCTGACCTGCACTGTCCTTATCTTAGCATGACTTGTCTTCCATGTTGTATACTCAGGACAAATTTTCACAAGAACTGCCAGAATACCTACCCAGATAATTTGTAATACAATAAAAATCTACATTGCAATGTGACCCAAAGATCTGGTGGGCTCACTGAGTAGGAAACTGCTCAGGGTTGGCTGACAAGAACTGAAACTTTTACTGACTTACTCCTTGGTAGAGCAAGTATCATAATAGGCCATGGAACAATCATCTAGGGGAAGTATTCAGAAGCCAGAAAAAAATAGATTTTAGAATATCCTGTCAACACTAGTTGAGAAAACATTGGAATTTACCATAGTACCAGGAATAAATTTGGACTGGTATGTTGAAAGTCAGACTGCTCTGTGTGTAGGATTCAATCAGTGTGTTAAATCACATTTTAGATACACGCCTCCACATGCCAGTCAGTTGTCACTAATAATTTGGCCAGCATGAAACATCTTGATTGTATTGCAGAAGGGAGACTGGAAACTAATTGAAGTGGAAAAAGATATTCCTTTCACTGGGGAAATAAAGAAGAAAGGAAATATTAGATTTTGTGATGTCATTCTCTGGGCTTCCTATTTCAATAAAACAGATGGTTTATAAACAATCAGATTTGAAATGTAGCTCTAGACTATACTTCTGCCATCTTCTCAAAAAATTAAGGTTAAAAACAATGTTAAATTAGCCACACTCTGAAACCTTACCATAAACCAGAAATATATTATATTATGGAAAGTAGTAAAGTAGAAATAAAATAAATTAGAGAAGTAAGAACTGATACTTATCATGTATAAAAACTAGTTTTGAGAAGCAGTTCCTAACATCCTATGAAACTCACTGCCCATACCTAATACTAATAAAGATTTAGTTTTATATGTGCACAAGGCATCGGCCTGTAATTTTCTGCTGGATGCCTGGGAGCATGAGTGCTGTTCCAGAAGCACACAGGATTTCTGCTGAATTGTCAAGGTTTGAGCTCAGCATGCTTTAAGGTGTGCCATATTAGCAGGGAAATGACACTGGTTCTCAAGAGAACAGGGACTGGCCTTGGGGGCAGAAGCCACTAAAAGCGGCTACAGAAGTGCTGCCACAAGGGAAAAAGGCCTTCCAGGTTTTAGACAACATCAAAAGAAAGTTTGGGCTGATATGCATTGACCCATAACTTAATAGGATTTAAAGGCTGAGGTAGAATGAAATTGACTACTGTGCAAAGTCCTAAACCCCACTGAAATCATTGCCTTTTGTTATTGATGTGAGCATGTATTACACTCAAAATATTGTTTATGGGCAAAGTAGAAATACTCATGTGTATACTCAAAGTCTATAATGTACTGCTACTATAGTAACACTACTGTAGTGGAAATCTTCAGGATCTAGTATATAATACTCCAGATTCTGAACAGTAAAAAAACCAATAATAATACAGCTAGAATTTTTATACACATTCAAATTGCTGGAGTTCTTATACTTTCTTTAGTTTTCTGATATTTTACTTTTAATTTTCTTTAATTTTCCTAGATTCATCTTTATGTGTTTTCTATCACACTTTTAAGCCTTTTTTATTTCTTGTTTAATCTGCTCACTGAGTATAGCTGAATGGTCTATATATGATGCATTTTATACATGCTAGATACTACTTCTTTTTTCTCTTTGTGACCTTTGAAAGTAGTTTTGTACAACTCTACCTTTATTATTATTTTTTTTAACAGAGTATCAGTGATATATTTATAGCTATGGGATTTCCATCACCAAACACATCTCCTATGTCTGTGCCACATCCTGTGGCTTCACTACTCAATAACCCTGCTGGTGTGTCAGACATGTATTTCTCTACATTACATCATTATGTCAGAGTCATAAATATCTCATTCTACTTACAAAAATTGCAGCTTGCTGCTGCCTATGTAAAACTGTGATTGTGACACACAAAGATGATAAAACCAAAATAAATTAGACCTATATATCATGTCAATTATAGAAAATAGAAAACAAGTAAAACAAGTATGACAAAGCTGCAACAGGTGAAAAAAGTTTGAACTGAGCATGGCTCTCAAGCCTCTGTCCTGAGACCTTGGAAATTCATTACAAAGCTTGTGGCCTCTTGCTGGTAGTGGCAGTGTCCTATTACAGGGCTGCATGGTTTCACAGGGCTGAGATACAACCCACTTGGTAGAAATCATGGTCTAAGCACAATGAGATTTGTTTGCATGCAACTTTAGTGGGCACCGGCATTTGATATCGTTTAATTTCCATGGTTTAATTAGCTACAGAAACTACTGCATAGAAAAGAGGTTTTGCATACAAATTAAATTTCTCTTTGGGAACTGTAAGAGCTCTGCAGGACTCAGCAGGTAGCAAGCTTTGTGCAGTGTTAGTGCAGAGGGGAGAAAGGAATGGAGAGGTCTCTTTCAATGCTGTCACTTGCATATGGGCAGTGAGAGAGCCTAAACTCTGCAGTGGCAAGCCCTGATGATAAAGCATTTCTCCAAAACCTGCAGCACCATGGAGCTAGCGCTGGTTATCACTGCATTATCACATCAGGTACAAAGAAGGAGGAATCAACCTCAGTCTGAAATCAGCCAAATTAACTTTGTCAGTGCTCAGACCATTTCTTGATCAAGTTAACAGGAGGACTTGTATTAGCTTCAGGTGAATTTGGACAGTTCCCTCTTTAACAATTGTAGAGATTTGGCAGCAATATTTATAATATTTTCATTTTTCTCTAGCACAAAGAAAAATTGTGAACAGTTATTCATTTTCCACAGTTGTAAAACTAAATCACAGAATAAGTAGCTATCAAAGGATTTTTAGTAGTAAGTGTTGTGTAGAACAAGCCTGGAAATATTTTTTTTAACCTTGAAAATAAAAATCTGACTGAAAAAAGCCTTACTTATAGGCCCACAAGATCCTAAAATACTGGCATAGTTTTAGGAAGATGTATTTTTATTTTAATTAAAAAAAAAAAATAAAGGACTGCACCACTACCTGCTTTATGTCTTTGGACTGCACCACTACCTGCTTTATGTCTTTATTGCTCAGTTAATGCTAAGAAAGTAACTTGACTCAAGAGATGCTCTAAAAGGATGAGTCCCAAAGAAACCTTATATACAAATATTCTATATTATTCCCTCATTTTTTCTATTCCTTTGTAAGTAGACTGAAAATTCCTTCCTATCATACTAAATTTTCATTTTTTTTTTATTTCATGCTTTTATCTTGAAAAACTACTCTTTTTCCAGTGGATCAGAATTCCTATGCAACTGTAAATCATAATTAAAATATGTTGCAGTAAACAAAATTAGTCCAACTGGGTGTTCCAGTTCTAACTCTTTCAAATGTACAGCAAATTTATCTTTGATTGTCTCTCATCACTTCATTGACATTGAGATTATATTTATTATTTTCTGAGTTGTTTCCTAGTATGTATTCTATTCCTTGCTGGATGAAAGTTTGGTGAGGTTAGTAGAAATACAAACCTAATCTCTGCTCTCTGACTAACACTAACATGAATGATGAAAGTAGCTTATAGAATTATTGCTCCTGAAATACAAATACATCCAAGCAGAACTACACCTCCACATAAGATCATCTTTACATTGGTTTCTACCAGTAGAATTATGTGAAGGAAGCCCTGGAGTTTAAAACTTTCCCTGTTGAAGTGGGAGCAGAAAATAACTGGAGTTTCTGATGTGCTGGGTGTCCTGGTCCCAGCCAGGGCAGGGTTAATTTCAGCAGCTTGGCCAGGCCCTGGAGGTTATTCTATACCAGCCCAGGTCATTGCCAAGGGCAGAAGGAAGGGACTCTACTCTGGGAGAATGGAGTACTTGTGGTTGGGTAATGTGGGTTCTGAGCAATCACATGTGAATTGTTTGCATGTCTAGGACACTTTGATATTGTAGCTGTTACTGTTCCTTTTCTTATCTCATTGCTGTTTCCAGTAAATTGTGCTTATCTCAGCCTGTAATCCTTATCTTTTGCATCTCCAATTCTCTTCTCCATCCAGCTGCTGGGTGGGTATGAGGAGAGAGCAAGCAGCAGTGCATTGTTTCAGTGGGAATGCTAAATAGGGGAATACCATTCCTAAACCATAACACTGGGGTATGTGACTGCAGTGTATCTCTCAGATGTTGCCTAGAAATCTTTGAATTGCAGATGGACCCGAGGCTCCTTGGCTGCTGTAGCTCTGTCAGAGAAGAATTTTGAACCTTACCAAGGAAAGACTTGAGGTACTTTCAGACAACAACCTGAATATTTCTTTTTTTTCTCTTGAAGTTATCACTGCAATGACAGATGGGACCAAGTGGCAAGGATGATGGAAATAAGAAGCTCTGGGAGACTGAAGACACAGAAATGCTCCGCACAGCAGACATTCAGTCTTTGAACTCTTACACACAGAAGCACAGTTTGGGTTTAAAGTACACAGAACCTACTTCTGGCAGAAAAACAAATCACATTGGCCAGAAGCAAGATCATTCTTCATTGGAAGAATGGTGATATTAATTTTTGAAACAGACAAAGGGAACTAGCTGTCCTGTCAGCAAAGGTATGAAACTAAAACTCTGCTAAGATAAGCTTCCTTCTTAGCATTTCTCACAAACTAAGTGAAGAACTGACTTTAGAATACTCAAAAAATTAAAGAAAGAAAATTTAATTTGATCTTTTTGCCCTTTGTTGCAGGAATTTGACCATTTCCTCTGATAGCAGATGGATTGTTGAAATGCCTCTGTGTACCAGCCTCCATTGTCTGTTTAGGAGGTATGTGAACCTAAGATGAGATTATGTGGTATACTTTTATTCACATCTCTGAGTTTGACATACTTTTAAGCTCTGGTGTTTCAAATTTTAATCTATCTTCAGAAGACATTTCTCATTCCTTGCCACTTACATTAGGAAAAAAAAAAATCTATCTGAAATGCAAGAAAATGTGTTTTAGAGCATTTTAAGACTTATTTTCCCAAACATTTAAAATTGACTAAAAACCAGCCAAATCAAAGCCTGTCCTGCCAGGAAAAGTAGTCCAATCAATTCACTATGTTTTCCAGCTAGGTTTTAGGACTCAAAACAGTGATATGCCAAACAATTTTTAAATCATGGGTTTCTCTTTTCAGAGTCATTTGAAGCTCTGGCACAAAGCAATTCAAAAGTGCACAGCCCATTATTTTTCAAAAAAAAAGCTCCAAAGTGCTGTGCCTCAAATGGAGATTATTTGGCTATTTGTAAAGCTCTACTTTTAGTGCAAGAAATGGAACATGGGGTTGGGATTGGTTCATATGCAATAAACTCGTCTGTTTGATTGTAAGTCCTGCCTAATTTCTCCTATTTTTTTTTTTTTCCAAAAGAGGAAGGCTATGGAAGGTAAATCCCTGATTAATCCCACCAGTGCAAAAATCTACAATACCATCCTGCAGTCACTTGTCTCTAAAAATAAGTTATGTTGCTGGAAAAGAACAGGTTACTTCATTTTTAGGCATACATTTTTAAATCTAACCTTTTGGGATGCAACTCTATTCTGTCTAGAATAAGGAAGAGTCTTATTTTCTCCTGTATGTATGTGGTCTGTGGCACTTCTAGCGACTTTTAGTCCATGTCTTTCTCAACTGACAGAGTGAGACTAACTGGCCAGGACTTTGATGTGAATCTGCCTCTCCTACCACTGTTTCTAGAGAAAGTCTAAAGGCCTTTAACTACAAATAGCCAAATTATATTACCTGAGCAACAGTACACTTTTCATATAGCAAAAGCACAAAATGAGGATGGTAAAATGAAAATTAAAGTTAATAAACTTCATGCCATGGAAAGTACCATTAAACATCTTCATCCCAGACCAGTCCATGTCCTTGCCTCCAGGGAGTTACACAGAAGCTCCTACATGGCAGCAAACTGCTACCTAGGGAATTTCTTTCACAATGTCATCCTTTCCAGTCCCTGAGATTGAGCTTACATAGACACATTAAACAATTCTTGGAACTATTCATGACCTCTATCGGTCACTGTTTTGCACAGTCAAACTTTCAGACCAGTTACTGACTCTGCTTGGTGTCATCAAGGCCATTCCTGAAAAACCCTGGGTGTACTTCCACACCAAGCACAACGGAAGACCTTTCCCAGAAGATGCACTGGACCCAGTCACCACATTTCAGGACAGAGGGTCTCATAGTGCAGGTAAGGCTGCCTCATGCCAGCTGAATGCAGTGCCAGAGAATGGTATGGCAAACATCAACACAGGCTTAATCTCTCCAGAGACTCTGAGGTCTCTGCATAGCCTCTAAGCCTCAGCCACCCCACAGGTACTGATGGATCTGCCCATCTCACTTTGTGGCTCCCTCCCTTCATGAGCAGCATCCAGGGCAATCTCTATCTCCAGTCACAGGGCTTCCAGCGCAGTCAGTATTTTTTTAAATTTACCTGCAAAAGTAGTGGACAAAAATAAGCAATTGATGGGTTTTTTTCATTTATATATAAAATCAAAGTGGATAATGAGTAGTGTGGGTCAATTCCGTAACAGAGAATCTCTGTGACGCATAGTTCATTTACCCAGAATAACACTGAGTGTTGATTATGCATAAATGAGCATTTTCTCTCAGCTTTGGTAAGCATTTTGTGAAGAAGAAGAGAAGGAAGAAACATTGCTGTGTCAGACATGATTTGCCTACTGGGATCATCTCACCATAACCATGAAGAAGCCTAAGGCATTAATTGTGCTTAGGTCTGCCATTACCTCTATCTACAGCAATTTGAGAGCTGAGACATCTGGCTTAAATAAATCTTTAGATATTATGAAATATTTGTGTAAAACTTACTGATCTGTGGTATATAGAAGGTCAGACTAGATGATATGATGTTCTCATCTGTCCCTTCCTTCAGCAAAGCTGACATTTACAATAATATTTTGTTCAAAATATGTTAGAAGCACTGATAAAATCCCCTTGTGATGTAACTTTTCAAGGAACACTCCAGGCCAACCCACAGTTATATGATTATCATAAACCAAGCATCTACTTCCAAAATATATTCAGTTATGTGAGAACCACAAACAAATGAAAACACCAATATACCTCACCTCTCAAATCAGATACCCACTGAGAAAGTGAGACAACTCTTTTTCAGGGCTCTGGAATTTTGAATAAGTTAAAAGAGAGAAAAGCCCATGATAAAGAATTCAGTATAAGAGATGGAATCTTAACATGACTTTATACCCTATGTGGAGGTGTTTTATATTAATTTGTTTCTTCTTTTTCCTTTTTTGTTGAATCTGCTCTGATGTTTGATGAGCATGAACATGTTTTCATCAAAAAGGAACAGACAGAAAAAACTGAAACCTTCTTTTAACAAAAATTTTAAAATAGCAAATTGTGCTGCCGCTACATCAGAGCATGGGTATACACTGCACTTTAAAGGAGAGGAATTATGTAGGTATAAGGAGAAAACAAGATGAAATGCTGACAGAACTGACTAGAAAGAAATCTCTTTCAAAGGTGATGTATCCATTCTTCATAGCAATGGATATTAATCCTATTTTGAAGTGATCTCACTTCTTTCTTTTGCCTGTATTCTTGTTCCAGGTTAATAGTTCTCTCTTGCTCAAACAAAGTACCGCCTTTTTTCTTGCATTTAGTCTAGGTTTTTGTTGGAAGAAGCTACAGTAAAGAGAGAGGAAGATAAAAAATTCATTAGTGACACGAAAGAATCATTTTTTCAGGTCCTTGGCATACTGAAACTGCAGAATTTGAAACAATGAATATATGTTCTTCACCTACATCAAATCTTGAAACCTTGAAACCAACTGAAAAACACATGAAGATATTTGGACAGGTCTGCAAATAGGGCCAGAGAAGTCGTGTGAATTCAGATCGAGGGACTGGGTTGCATGTGAGAACATGTTTTACAGGAGTTATTTTTTAAAGCTTTGGGAAAAGAATGATTGAGGGAAAAAAATAGTAAGCTTTAAAGCCCTTGGCAAAGAGGATCTTGTGATTTGGAGAGAAGCCAGAACAAACTTTTGGAGAGGTAAAAATTGGTGAGAGAAATACCCACACCAAATGAGGGAGCTACACAACAGGAGCAGAAATCTGTAGCATCCTCTCTGCAGCTTCTGCTTATAGCAGATGTGGAGAGGGGTTAGCAGTAGTGGGGAGTGGGATACATGGCTCAGGTGCCCCCAATGCTCATATGTCCTGACCAATGGTGTTAGCAAAGGACTGTGCCATAAGGAAGGTTTTCAGGTCTCCTCTAGGATGGCTGCAGGCAAATTATCAGTCAATGCTTTTTGTGTTCCTGCCTGAAAACAGGCCTTGCAGGACCACTAAGGTGAAAGAAGCCTCTTTGAACAGAAACACTGAGCTTTGGGGAGAATAAAATAATGAACGAGATGCAGTAGGCAACAGGAAGAGCAGGCTGAGTCATACAGTACTTGGAGACTTTTATGCACACAGTTATTCATACACCCACCGAGGCTGGCTTGGTAAAACTCCTACCACTCTTGACTACTTTTATAACCACCAGTGACCAAATCTGCCTTGACTTTAAATGTCTTCCCTTTACTGAATTCTAAGGGGGCTCTTTTGTTATGAATATCTCATTAGAAAGAAACTCTGTAGGGTACTTAATCTTTGATACTTCAGAAAGGAGAAAAAAAAAACCAAGAAAAAACAAGATATTATTGCAACACAGAAGAGAAGAGAAGACATAACTTTTGTACCATCCAAATATAAGGAATAATTTCAGGCTTTGTGGAATAAGATGTAGAGAAAAAGCCACGAAGCAGGAGATGGAATAAAAGTAGAAAGAGCATGAACCCAATCTGGAATTAATCTAATTTTATACCAGGGACATGACCATACCAGTTACTTTAGAAAACTATTATAGATTTATATCTAGTTTATAGATGTAGATCTTTTTAATACCCATAAAATTAGAATACATAACTAGGAACAAAAAGGGCTAAGGTTAAAGACGTTTCTGGTTGACTCATGGTTTATAACTGAATTTGAGATCTGAAACCCAGGACTACAAACAATTTGTCAGCTACAGCACCTACAAGACCTAATCAAGTCTAAGCAGAAAGAAATTGATGTATTAGCTAGTTATGATGTTTAAGGTGTCTCTGTTATTAAAATTAGTAAAATTATGTCTATCTCACAGAGGAGTTGGCACTGTATGTTGTCTCCTGAGTATGCTTGTCAAATACCAGCACTGCTGCTGAACAGAAAGTTCTGGCTACTCCTGGTAATATCCCCTAAAGGCAAACAACAGTGGCTTAAGGTAACACTGATAAGAAAAGTGAAATAAGTTTCTTAAGCAGTTAGTAGCACACTCAGAAACATTTAACTTTTTTTTTTTCTTTGCTACTGCTACTGGTTTCTTAAAATGTGCATGTCTGAGTGTGCATTGTTTCATAATGAGAATTTTTCTGCCTATATTTCTATGCCTACCTAAATTTAACAACCTACACTGTCATTCCTCTGAAATTATAAAGATGAACTGATTTTGATCTCACTGCAGAGATTCCTCACAAATGGCTTTTCAGCACTCTGTGCATAAAAAGAGCTTGATTTTGATCAGCCTGGTGGAGTTATTTGTACTTATTTAAACAGAAATGTGCTACTGAATCAGAATATCAGAATAATGTAGAAAGCTAAAAAATGTACAAGGCTGTGGAAGATCAAACATAACTTTTGATATTTCATTGACCTTTGTAATCAACAAAGATACAGTTTTTATTCTATCATGTCTATAGAAGTATCAGAGTTTTTCCTCCCGAGTATTGACTAAAATATACTTACCCAGTAAAACAAAATTTAGCAACTGCATATCATCTGATTGACTTTTACCACTTGAATTCTGACTCCTAAGACTAAAATAGTGTTCTAGAAAGTAGTCAAAGTAGTGAAATACTGTATCTTTTGAATCATTCTGATTTACCATAACGAGAAAGGGAGACTTTTCCAAAGTCCTTTATATAATTTTGCTTTAAATTACATACTCCTCCAATATACTTGAAGCAAACAACATGAGGAAATAATATATGACTCCTTTAATGTAAAAAATCATTAATCATGTAAATAAAAGTGTTTAAATGTATTTTATAAATGGTATTTAAAATATTAAAATGCTGACACCAAGTAGTCCTAAAAAGAAAATCTAATTATACATAAAGTTGTTGCTATCATTTTTCTCACATGAATAGATATAGGAAACATCCACCAAGTCTTTCAAAAAGTAAAAAGGAAAACAGCGAAACCATAAGAGCCATTATCCATCTGTGGAATTTTAAACTTTTGTTGCAAATTTATTTAGAAATTAGTGCTGGTGAACTTATGCCCATTGGTCTGATTTTCTTGTCAACTTTATGATTTCTGAAGTGAATTGTTATTATGTAATTAATTTTGATAACTCAAAGCTGTCACTCAAGACAAAGCAATATTACTTTTATTATTGACTATTTTTCCCTTTATATAGCTCTCTTTCAGTTATGAATGTGTTTACCTTTCCTGGTAATTTCACAAGCCAAAATAACCTGCACAAAACCAGTGATTTAGTCAATTATTGAATGTACTGAATTAAAGCCTTTCTCCAAGCTTGCTGCATTCACTGAACATTGTCATGAAAGGGATCATGTACAGCCTTTCAACAGTGCAATTCCCAAGATTTTGCTGAAATTGCGGTAATCCAGATTGAGGTATATAATTTATACTGGTCTTCAACACAGAAAAGAAATGAAGACTCCAGGTTTTATTGCCCTGTCATTGTTAAAAAATAATTTAAATAACCAACAAGAATTTCTTTATTATTCTGAAATTGTACCACTTCAGTCTAACTCTGTCTAATAGTACACTTCAGGGAAGTGTACTATTAGAAGGGAAGTCTGTTTTTCCTATGAGAAATGGATGACAGGAAAAGCTGCAAGTTCTCTACAGAAAAAAAGGTGAATCCGTACATTCTATTAAATACACTCAGTTGTATTGTACACTCGTGCAATTATTATTTGTGTCTGTGCTGAAGACTGCCCTGATTATTTTGAGAATCTGTCTTTTGATTCTGTGAATGAATTATCAGTAAAGGTAACTGGTTTTTACCATGTAGTTGTTTGACTATGTGAATGGATGGATTGAACTTCAAAGCCAGGTTATATTCCCTGTTCTGCTTGGTATGAATCCAATTTCAGTCAGAAAAGATAAGCAGTGAAGTCATTTGGTGCCTTGTCATTCTCATGTCTGTTGCAGATGCAGTAATAATCTGTTACTTGTTGAGGAAAACATAAGAGAAATTATCTTTTTGTTTTGTAGGCAACTGATAATTTCAATGTGTGAATGCCTTGCACAACATTAATATACAAGAAAAAATATTAAAAGAATAATAAAGTGCAGTAAATATTTGAAATTCTGAAACTAATGGATATGCAAAATATTTAAAAGATCCTATTGCTCAGAAACAAGAACCCTGTTCTTTCATTATCATATTTTTACTCTCTTGACAGCTGCAGGAGTCAAGGCTGACAACACAGAGATGGTGTAACTCTTCAAAATGCATCTTACATGGTTCCACCTGGAGCATTCTCCTCTCAGTAACATCTGCTGCACTCCCAAATGGATCCCCATGTGCAGAGTGTGCATCCACCTAGGAGAACATAAGGCACTGGTGACTGGCAGAATTCCTGCAGGCTCAAACACTGAAAATTACTTCACAAGACGCGTATGTGACAATTTCTGCACTTGCTATGTCATGTTTCTAAATACCAAAAAAACCCCAAAGCCAAAGCCAAAACCAAACCAAACCAAACCAAACCACCAAACAAAAACCCCAAAACAAACAAAATCAAACTTAACAAAAACCCCAACAAATTAAACAAAAAAAAAACCTAATCCCACAAGACCAGAAAGAGACAGAAATGGGGAAAAGATCTTATAGATTTATTTTTTTAACAAAATCTTGCTTAATTTTTATAAAGCAGCAGATTATGTACTGAAATCTGAAGTGTTGGGATTTGAGAGCAAGAGAGTTTGTGGAGAGAATGATAAGAAAGGTGAATCTGTCTTTTCTCCCTAAGTGGAAGCTCAGAGAAGTAAGAAAATAAGGAGAATTCCAGCAGATACTAATTACTACCTCAGCAAAACTAAATGAGACCCCTCAGCTCCCTGAAGATCCCTGAAGTTCTTCTTTGCTTCCAGGAGAAAAGTGTGCCATGCTGAGCTGAGACATGTCCATTTCTCATCTGTACAAATATTGAGGCAGTAGAAAACAGAATTTTCTCCTCTTTTAGAGGAATTTAGACACAGAAAAGCCATGGTGGAATTAATCTCTCCCAGTTTTAACTAACTAATGAATATCTAGGCTAAACTGTTTTTAATGCCCTTTTTTTTATTCTCAGTGATGAATAGAGAAGGCATGCTTTGCCCCAGTACAGAAGTGTCATTACCCACAGAGCACAACTATACAATTAATCTGATTTTCAGTGATTTACCATCTTTTTACTTTGGTTGTTTTGCTGTCTTTCATGTAGGTTTCTTAAATGTTTCTTTGTTGTTATGCATACTCTAAAAGGTACAAAAGGTAGGATTAGGAAAAATACATACCATTTCAAAAACTCTGCAAAAATAAAAAACATTAGTTTAATTAAGCAATCTCAATGACGTTCATTGTGTAGGACTCTCATTCAAATCAATGAAAATGTATGTTCATAAACCTGTAAAAAAATCTATGAGGTCTAATTATAGGGAGCTTAATTGCTTCTACTAATAGCACTCTGAAAAAAAAATTTCGAAGCATTTCCTGTGACTGCAGGAATTGATTCAAAATTCGATTTACAACTTGTTAAAACAGAAAGGAAAACTTTCAGTATTTCTTGTATTAGGAGGCATTTATAATTAGTGGCATGTTTTATTTCATGTACATAAAGTTTTCATAGCATTTTTTAGATATGTTCCTCTCTATAAAAATAATATATAGCTTTCTCTAAGTGAATTATAACATGAAATATGTCTGCAATGTCTTATTTATCACAGTATTTTTTATGTACAATGCATTATGTATTATTCACTGTAATGATTTTTTTAAAGATTTATGGAACCATTCTTGTGTGAAGACTGCATAGTTTTCAGGGCTACATTTTTCCACATGAAGTTTACCTGTTGCTTGTATGGATATAACTAATGATGATATTTTCAATATTAATGATGATAATGATGCTGTTGATGATGATCTTAATAATAATAATCGGTGAGAAGTAAAACTTCCTGAAATCTTGTCAGTTTTAACTAGATAAATTATAGAGCTTAATAGATCATATTACTTCATATAGAAAGCTTACCCTTCTTGTATCTTGAAACCATCAAATCTCTATGGTAATGCACAGTTTTCTCAAAAATTAACTGGTATAGCTAAAGTGGACTCAGAACTTTGACAGTGTAAAGGTTTTCTATTAGTCAACAAAAAATATTTTATTTTGGAAGTAGAAATACAAGATATCTCATGAAAGGTTAATACTGGTTTTTATAAAAAACACTGTTATGGATTAATTAAAGGATTAAGCCCTCACTGCTCTTTCCCCCTCTGCCCCCTTCCCTATAAAGGAAAAAATATGTTTTGGCAGCAAGAATCAAATAGGTCAAAAGGGCAAGACTAACACAGGAGAAACAAATATTCGTGCAGGATTTTGTTTTCTACATTGCTGAAAGATAGAAGTAAAACTTAAGTTTGAAAATTTTACTTGATTTCTTTATTCTTTTCTATTTAATTCTATATGCCATGCTAAATAGAATTTAAAATCTATTTCTTTTTAAGACAGAAGACATATCTGTAAGATTCCTGAATACTTGTTCACACCCTTAGTTATCTAAATATTTACAGAAACATCCCTAAGATAATTTTTGACTTTACAAGTGGTTTTGAGTCTACTAATTCTGTTTTAACAGATTTTGGAAGATCTCTGTTGTTAAGTAAATAAAATCAATTTAATCAAAAAGTTATGTTCATGAGATGCTCTGTAAATCAGGCATGTGATAGATATAACCTGACTTTCATTACACTTGTGAGACTGTTGGCAAAATACATACAGCTATATAAAGACACTCACAGTCCAGAGGTCCAGAATCAGTTTAATTCTCCTTAAAGTAAATAGAGGAAAAAAATCTTGAAAGTAACCCACATCATTTTAAGTTATTCAGAACTGACCAAAGGAGTTGTGCATTTAAAATACCTGCTCTGTGCCAACAATAAAGGCAACATGAAGTGAATAAATATCTGCACTGAAGATATTGAATTTGGAACATGATGAATTGTACTGTGCTTCAAATTATATTCTTGTAAGGGAAAGAGAGCAACTCAGCCCAAGCTGAAGAACTGTTAAGGTGTGGTAACTGGGTAGAGAAAGGGGAATACAGAAGTTGCTGAATTGTGCTATTAATAATATTCCTTTAAATTTGATTTATTGATGTTCTGTATATATTTATCATCAAGAGACTTCTTCATCAAGGCATTTTCCCTACTGACTGTATGATAAGCTAATGGGTGTTCATGACATTTGTAAAAGAACCCAAGTTGTGAGAAAGGCACTACCAAGACACTCACAGAATTCAAAGTCACCTCAGTGAATTCAAAAGTGGGCTGAAAAAGCATAGGATGTTAAAAAAGGACAAATGTGAAATTCTACACTTAGGTAACAAAGCATACAACAACATGAACTGGAGAAAAGCCATGCAGCTCCTCTTCCTAATTAGAGCTGTTGGTAATATAAATTAGAAGCTCAAGATGAAGCTGAAAAGGTGATGGTCTTTCACTACAAGCTCATTTCTGCAATGTTTAAAAAACCCTCTTGTTTTATTTAGGGAAATAACCTCTCCACTTCATTGGGATGGGTTTATCTAGTATAGTGTGCAGTCTGAAGCAGCTCTGGAAAGCCTTCCCAGGAAGGGCATAGACTGAGTCAAGACAAAGGGCTGAAGGAAGGAATTCCTGCCCTCAACAACTTCCTGGACAAACTCTAATGACACTCATAGAACTCTGGGAGAGCAGGGAAAATTTGATTAATTATTGCTATCACCCATGCTGCCAGGAGCTAGATGCCTGTGACCACCATCTTGTTAATTACATGGGGTTCATAGCAATTTTGAGAACTTCAAATTAGGAAAACAAACAAAAAGAAAAAAAAAAAGCCTTATAGGTTTCTGTGTTGCACATGACTCATCTTTGCCATTGTAAATAAAACATTTCCACTAGATCTGCCCAATTCTGGATTTGTTTGACTGAAGATATTGTGAGAGAGGTAAAAAGATCACAATCTGGAAAATATGGTCTGTGAAGGCAGACTTAATGGACTCCCTGTTTACTTATGGAACTTCACCTATCTCCCTTGAGTTTTTAGGACACCTGCTAAAGACATAAAGATCGGTTTTGTGTGTTCCAGAGATGCTTCCTCTTTTAATAACAAGCTTCCCTCCTATAGAAGTTTCCTGTTGAAGCAACTTCTATTTGTGCTTTTTCTGTCATTTGCAGATTATTTTTGAGCAAAATATCTAGCATATAACATAAATGGGGGATCCAGGTCTCGACAAATTCCATGTGATGGACAAACTGTGCCGGTATTAACTTACTTTTCAGCACAAAATTTTGATCTTACTCTTAAACCAATGAATTTTCTCCAGATCCCATTAATTTCTCTTTAGAGGGAAACAGAAATTCTCCTTATGGTCAGCATGTTTCTGTGATTTGAAGACTCAAAAGTAAAAATCAACATGAAATACAGCTGGAAGTCTTTAAAAATTGACAGAAAAATGATGAGGTGGTAAAGCATGTCAGCATGTACCAATATTCACTCCATAGGTCCTACTCTCTACTACCTCTACTTGCTTTTATGATGAAAAATATTTCAATTTGCAAAGTATCACATGGTCATAATCAGACGCCCTAAGTCACAATCCCTGCAGTTGGTGAACAGCTGGGTGCTAAGAGAAAAACAGAATGAGCAGTAGCAGATTTTACTCTACCCTATAAAAATGAAATACCTTAGAGAATTTAGAAAGAGGGGTAGTCAATATGATTCTGATTTTGAAAATGCACCATAGAATATGGGATATCTTTTGGCGAAAGTTATATTAAAAAACACTTTTTTGTTGTTTGTTTGGGGGTTTTATTTTGGTTTGGTTTGGTTTGATTTGGTTTTACTGGCTCTAGACTGCAGGGGATAGATAATGACATGTTATACATATTTAAACAAGGACTTTTTTTCCTTAAATTATTTTATTTTTTTCATGAGTTGCAAGATTTTTTTCTTAAGACCAATTTAGGGAATTTTCAAAAAGTCAAAGGGAATAATTGGATCATATAATTTAAAAAATATTTTATTAAAAATCAGAATGTACTGTTATATTTTGCTGCTATAGTTGTATTTACAGCTATTGAAATTATAAAGTGCTTGAAGGAAAAACAGTTAAGACAACAGCAATTGCTTTGTTCCAAATGGAAATGGATGCAGGGAATTTTGATTGGTTTGTGCTGGACAGCTTGCCTTCCAATAAACCAAACCATCTATTTTCCTCCCAATTCTCCAGGTAATATGAAGAAAGTAAATTTCAGCACATTGAAGTTTTGGTCTCTGCAACTTCTCTTTGGAAATGTAGCCCAATTAGGATATGGTAAAATTCCCTTTTTATGTCTGCCTCATTTTGTTGGAGAATCTTGAATGGTTTTAAAGGGCATTCCTCAGCCTGAAAAGTCCTTTTCACCTATTCTCTCGGCTTTATAATTACTATCTCTCCCATTCTTATATGACAGGACTCCAAACAATACTGCTGTCACTGGAGAGAATAAGAAATTCTGAGGTCTGGTGGCAGCTTTCATTAGGAGGAAGAAAGCCAGAGCATCTCACCATGGGAAGCATTTCTAGACTGGTGGCCACAGCTGATTCCCCAGAAAATCACCTTTAGATACCCAGCAGTATCTGGTTGGTGCTAGAAAAGGCATTTCTAGGCACATGTCTTTCTCACAGCCCAATAACTACACAAACCAACACAGACTTACAAGTGACCCTTAGGTCAGGAGCAGATCTCTGAAGACTTTCTTGGTAAGGAATGAAATGAAGTGAAACACTGGCAGGGTACATCCCTAGACAGCAGGGATGTTTCCTTCTGTTTTCACCACTTCACCTATTGCATGCTGAATATCTTTCGTCCTTTCACTCCTCTCTCATTCAACAAACCTAGATTCTTGTTCAGTTTTGTATTTCCAGAAAAATAAAAAGACTTGACACCAACAAATTGCTTCAATTTTTAAGCAACTTTCCACAGCATAGCAGCTGCTTGGAAAGACAAATGGCATCACTTTGAATGTCCTCCCCTTCTCCCCCCAGCTTTATATGCTGATGCCATATGGTGTGGGATATCTCTTTGAGGTCAGCTGTCCTGGTTGTGTCCTCTCCCAGCTTCTTGAGCATCCCTAGCCTGTTTTCTGGTTGGGATGGGAAGCAAAAAGGCCTTCATGTTGTAAGCACTGCTCAGCAATAATGAAAATATCCTTGTGTTATCAACACTGTTTTCAGCATAAAAAATCCAACACACAGCCTCATGCCAGCTACTATGAAGAAAATTTACTCTATCCTAGCCACAACCAGCACAGACAAGTGAAAGAATAATTATATTATCACCTTTCTTCAGACACATTTAAAAATTTCCTCCTAAAACAAAAGACATTGAGACTATTTTATGAAAGTAAAGGAAGTCAAATTAACCTAACCACAAAACATTTCAATGCTTCCATTTTCATGAATTTAGGCATATGATAGCTGTTATTTTAAGTTATTTCTATTTTAATGTGGCACATCACCATCAGAGTTGACACTCTAGGGAAAAAATCTCTAATATTCTAGTTTTTAAAAACCAAGCTGTTGTATGCTTAACATTCATTGGTTTTAAAGCAATCTACAGGTGTTAAAAATGTCATTGAAAGGGAGTTAGTCACTACAGAATCTGTCTCTTATGGAAGCAGTAAAGGAGAAAAGTGGCAGTTAAGGGAGAAGAGGAACATTGAATGTGAACATTTCATCAAGAAATACATACATAATTGTGCTGCATAAAATTCAGAGTAGATGCAGAATAACACTAATTTTCATGTTAGGTACTGTGAAAATCTCAGTGTGATTAATAAAAGAGAGTGATAGAAAAGGAGAATAAAATTGCTTGGCAGCTTCATGTGTAGGAAGGAGATTCTTTTTCATATATTGTATTTTTAAAAATCTTAACTTTAAACACCATAGAAAGGAAATGGAGAAAGATGATAATATAAGCAGTTGCCTCAATGAAAATAAGGTTTTTAAGAAAGAGCACCAAGTTTGAGTCATCTGAATTTTGAGCCTTTGAAAGCTACACTTTGCAGCAATTTTCACACCAGTAATTTTAACAATTGCACATTAGCATTTTGAAAGAATGGGAAATATAAATGAGGCACATACAATGAGGTGATTGAGACGTCTGAAGGTGAGAAGCAGCAGGGCTCATTCCAGGATTAACCTCAGCAGGCAGTAAACTGCAGAAGACCTCTGCCTGATACTCGCTTCTAGGGGCTCCTGCAGACCAGGTAATGTCTTTGTGCTCACGGCTGTGCTGCCCCTGGACACTCTGCAGCAAACAGGTAGGGCTCGTTCTTCCTCTGAGAGCTTTAGAGCAGGAGGCATGCCTGCCAGTCCTCTTCCTTGCCACACAGGCCACCCTTGGGTGGCCATTGGATGGCACTGTCTCACTTGACATGCCTTTGGGTGGCACTGTATCACCACCTTGCAGATGTTTTTGGGACTACGGATTGGCACACCTACCCAAAAGACAGTCCTTCTGTCTCCAGCAATAGCGTTTTCTGCACCAGAATATTTTGGAATATTGTTGTAATATTTTCCCCAATAATAATTAAGACCAAAATTCAGATTAATTTCTACTAAATTTACCACTCTCACTTTCTTTTTAAGAATTAAAATCCATCAGTCTTGACATTCCTCCCAGGTTGGAGAGCACTTTGAAAGGTCTGGATGAGAAGGCAAGTCTTACTATATACTAACTAATACTTTTTGAGTTTTTCCTAATATAATTGAATAAATTGGGGGGGGGGGGAATAGCAAAAAAAAAAAAAGAGGTTCTTTGAAAATGATTATTGTAAAGAATCAGTTTTTTGAAGTAGAAAATTGTAATTTCCAAAACAAGGACATATGTTTAAAATATGAAGGAGATCAGATGATAACTTTAATGATACCTTGTGAAAATAACGTTTGTGAATGCATTTCTTTTTCCTTGAGGACAAAGCACACTGACTACAATTGTTATAGTGTCGTTCTTTTTCTGTACGTCTTATGTTTCTACACATCTATTTTCTTATCATCTTATTTGTGGCATTCTCCTAGATCATCATGGTTCTTCCTGACATACATGTTAACTTGGTTTTCTGGGGGCTTTGTTTTTTTGCTTTTGATGTCAGTGCTTAGAAATTGGATGAGTCAACCATAATATATTTTAACATTGCAAGGCAAAAATAAGACTGGTATTTTGATATTTCATGAGCCATCCAAGATATGTTTCCAAATAATGTCCTTTTTGTTATACTGTGTGTACCATTGTGTGTGAATTCCCAAAACTGCAGACTACACACACATAAATAAGGCATCTTCAAAGATTTTCCTCCCAGTTTCTTTTCTCCATTAAATCACTTATTTGTCCCAAATCTTCTGTTCTTTAATATCTTCTGCCTCAAATCTCTTGTGGATAACTATGGTGTTAACTCAAACCAGAGGTTTGATTTCTGAACTATTTCAAGCCAGCTTTGGTTTGTTGGTGTCTTCAACCATTACAGACTATTCCTTTTAGCTTTCTGTATGTTTTTTTTTTTTCCAATGGTAGTTTGGAGCATGTTCCATCTTCGGTTCCACAATAGATTTCACTGGATTTGGAGCTGCCTCCTCCTGGAAAGACTTATCCCAGAAAGAAACAGCTGTGAATTCCAACCACAGAATATAATGAACTTAAGCAACAAAAGTCAGAGGCAGAATTTCCAGCAGCCTCCTCCAAGAGTCTCAGCTTTTGTTATCCTTCAGTCTCATGCTACTCTATCAGTCTTGCTGCCATCAAGATTGTCAGTCCACAGAACAACCTTTCTGTTTATCCCTGCTGATTTTATGGAAACTTTCAATTCTTCTCTAAATCTCCTACTTACCCAAGCGGGTGAATCAATGAAAAATAATTATTAACTCTAGCACATCCTAAATTTTCTTTAGAAATTTCTCTAAATTTCCTTTCCTTCTTTTTTGACCACTGCAAGATATTCAGCAAGATTCTTCCAAATAGCCTGGGACATCCACTGGTGAGTGTTCACCTGTTTCAGGACAACTTGTCTTTTAGAAAACAAACTTAATTGTTTTCTAAAAGACAAAGATGCCAGATTGTGTAATTTTCTCCAAATATCTTGAGATACAAAGGCTTTTTTGTGTCTGACAGGGCTCTTCTAGACATTAATAATCATTCAAATCAGACTGTCCAACACTTCCCAGCCCACAGACAGCTGTGGCAAATGGCACAGCTATTGCCTAGGCAAATCCCTGCAAACCATTTTAATGCAACAGAAGTAATTAACTCTATTAGCATGGCTGGATCAGTCTACACTTAGAACTAATCAACCTAATTTTCATGCTAAGAGAATTAAACCCTTTAGATGAAAACAAATGCATCTGGGTTGGTAATTTGGGGAAAAAACCCTAACCTGTTAGGTAACAAATACATTGGGACAGAGTTGAATAAAGCTTGTAATAAACCCCAAACGAATTTAAAGCAAATAAAAATTTCCTGAGTTGTTTAAAATCATAAATCAAATTTTCAAAAGATATTAAAACTATCTTACTAATGCCATTTAAATGGCAAGAAAATATGTTTATTTCAAATTTATGAGTCCACAGCTCTTCATTTAAAACATTTCATAAAGTGTTCAGTATCAAATGAGCACATATTCAAATTCCATCTAAGGGCAGTGCCCAGTGAATAGTCCCTGCAAATGAAACAATACCTGAGAGCTCAGTTCTGAGGTATGTAGCATTCCCCCAAAGCCATCATTACCTTTTGGTACAGCCATGAAGTGATGAAAGCTGAGCAGGCTCAGAAGATGGAAAAGTGGATTTTTAAGGGAAGAACCCCTTCCTGGCACTGTCCAGCAGATCACTAAGACATTTAGCACTGTGTTTTGTTCTATCAGACAGGTCAAACTTTCACCTCAGCACATTCACATAGATCTTGGGAGGAAATATTTTTAGACTGTCTTACAGTCTACACAACAACTGCTGAATAAAAAGAGAGGAACAGCAGGCTCAAGCACTGCCTTGCTGATTGTTCAATCAGCATTGATTCTCTACACAGTCTGGGACCAGCTCCCACTGTCTTGGAGCCCAGGCCTGAGTCAGAGCAAATACCCTACACAGCTATCCACTACCAAGACATAACCAAAACAGGCTCTTTCCATGCTCTCCCAACATCAGAATTTATACCCATTAACACCCAGATTTATCTACATGCCAAGCATCAATGTCCCAGGTTCATCTTAGAAATCATGACAAGCTATTCACATTATTTTGGAAGCTCTGAATTGACAAAACTGCTCTAAAAAAGACAGAGTTTTGGGCCTAGATGGGTGATATATATAACCCACGGGAGGCTCAGTGCTGGTCAGTTTATCCCTCTTGGCTTCAAGGCCAAAGAGTGATAACTGGGTCTATTTTATTTAGTAAAATAGATGCAGCCATGGTCATTTTGTTTCTTTTTCAAAAGTTTGCACATCTGATGCCTTCTTCTGTTCAGAACCTCACTTTTAAAAATTTTAAAACTTCATTTTTTTTGCTCATCTTGCATAGAAAAGTGAATGTAAGGAAAAGATACACACCTGATAATCTCACTACACTAAAATAAGAGGTTACAAATTTTGGTAAAATATTGCACTTGACAGCTTTGTGTTTCCATGCTCATTAAACTTTGTATTCTGAAGTCTATGAGAAAAACAACTCATGTTTCTCATAGAAGAAAATTTTACTATTAGAAAAATTATCAGGTTTCTGGCAGTTCTGCCCCACCAATTCACCTGCTACACATCATCTGAAAACTAAGAGACTTTTCAAGAGGATTTCAGGGAAATGGATATCAAGGAACAAGCAAAATGACAGCCATGAATAAGAACCACTGCAGAGTCTCCAAATCCAGGAATACTATAGTCATATAGAAGAATAAAGAGAAAGAGTGTTTTTTAACTGAACACTGGAAGGCATTAAAATTTTTGAAATGTTTTCTTTTTCATTATAAACCACTAGAAAAGAAATAAAAAACATTTTTGATGTAACATTCTTTCCCCCTAAATTTTGTATCATTCTCCTTCGTTTGCAAAAGAAAGTTGAAAGTTGAAAAAGAAAGTGAAATGAATGAGAGAAAAGATAAAAGAGATAAATGAAGAAAATCAGGCAAATACCCTAAGAATAAAATTTAAGAATTACTGCAGGAATTTCATGCTCTTTCCAAACCTTACAGTTTAGATATGTCCTTTTATTTCCTTCTTCTGACCAATTCACAGCACCAATTCAGACCACAGGCTGGGGGAAAAAAAAAGTCTACTTGGTAATAGAGCAAAGATTTCAAAAATCCCATCTCTAAACCCAAGTCAAGCACACATATCAGACAAGAGAAAGAAGAATTTATTTTGTTGCTCCTCACTAACTAACTGATTATACCACTTTTATCCTACTGAAACGTTCTTCATGTCAGAGACACCATCAGTATACATCAACATATTAAGACTTCACTGACTAGGAGGCAAGAAGTAAAATGAGGCTGCTAGAAAAAACACAAAGCTGAAGGAACAGCCCTGGTATGCTATTAACTCCAGTCTTCATCTCTTCAGGCTACGATATGCTTAATTACCCTGATGTCAGGAAGCATTATTTTTCTCCTTTCCCTTTGAATTTCAAATCATCTATGTCTGGTACACTTCATTATTTCCTTTAGTTACAATTATAGTTTTTAAAACCTTGTTTACATACCTTTCTCTTTGCTGACTTTAATAGTCTGAGACTTCATAAATTGAAGAGAAAGTGAAAAAGCATGTGGGCAATATATATGGATATATATGTCTAATAAAAGGGAAAGGACTATGATCACTTAAATAGGATTTAGTAAGACATTATTTAGATGGAACAAATGATACAAGAATGCACTACATTAATTTTGAAGTATCAATCATCCAAACTCACTATGCCCTAATAGACAAGTCACACAGAATAAAATAACAAACATCAAATACAGCTCTCCTCACATCAAAAATCATAGGCTGAATTAACATCAGGCTACTGCAGGAAGGACAAGAATCATCCAGCTGGCTCTTGAATTATACAAAGACACATTATTGCCTCATTATGACTGTGAAGTAATAACTGAGAAGAGCTAATTTTGAGTAACAATACATAAATATTCAAATTTCATTTGTATGTCCCTAAAATAGTGATGAGTAAGAAGTAGGAGAGATTGGACTCTATTAAAAAATATTAAAACAAAGAAAATTGAAATTTACCTCTTGAAATTGTCTTGAAGTACATATCACATGTTCCATAAAAACAATAATATTTCTACCTCCATAGAGCAGTGTTTTAGCTAAAATTCAGTGAAGAGAGAACAGAGAGAAACTACTCATGAACATCTGCTCAAGCAAAACAATCTTTATTTTAATATTCTTTAGAATTAAATTTATTCATACACTATGAATCATAATTTTTGATCAGGAGACTCTCTCTTGTAAGAGAAAATGTCAGAAATATTTGTTCTAGCCTCAGTTTGCATTGGTATTTGTGCTTCTAGTCTTAATCTTTTCCCAGTGTAGTGAAGCAGAGAGCAGAAATAACACAATGTAAATTAAGTTCCAGACAGCATAAAGAACAAATTACTATGTACACATTTAAAAAGTGATCTCTGAGAGAGACACTACAGGAACCAGTGCCAGGCTAAGCTCTACAGGCACAAACCATA